CAACTCTCCCAGGACCCTGCCTTTTACTTCCTGAGAAAATTGAGGCCATCCTACATGAGTTTCCTTGGTTACCCTCTTTCCCACTTCCAAGTCCTGTATTTATGTAGCTTCACAGTGCCCCCTACCATTTCTGTCTCAACGAATGTAGAATCCTTCCTTATCACCAGACTCACGTCTCCTGCTGTACTCTTTTTTTGTTTGTTTATTGTTAGTTTAAGTGGAAGTTTACATTTCAAGTTAGTGTCTCATACAAAAATTTATACATACATTGTTATGTGACCCTAATTGCTCTCCCTATACTGTGACAGCATACTTGTCCTTTCCATCCCTGATTCCCCATGTCTATTCAACCAACTTCTAACCCTCTTTGCCTTCTCATCTCACCTCCGGACAGAAGCTGCCCATTTAGTCTCATGTATCAACTTGTCCTGCTATACTCTTGATCCCAGCCCTCCTCCCTCTTTGGGGACCTTACTTGATGGGTTTTCTCTGGGCTCTTGTATTTTCATTACCTCCCCTTTGTCCTCAAGTGTGCTCACGCCTCCTCTACCTTAATATCCTGCCTTCAGCCCCAGTACCTACTCAAGCTACTGCTCTGTTGCCTTTCTTCCCTTCACAAATACACTTAGATTGAGGCTTTGGCCTCCTAACTGGTTTCCTGCCTCTAGTCTTGTCCCTACTGCAGTCCATTCAGTACACTGTAGTGAGTGTAATCTGGAAAATGTAAATCTGACCGTATGTTTTTCCCATGCCTAAAATACTTCAACAACTCCCTTTAAAAAAAAAAAAACTGCTTTTTTTTGGGTACCAGCTTTATTAAGATATAATTCACATACCAAACAATTCACCCACTTAAAGTGTGCCATTCAGTGGCTTTTAGTGTATTCACGGAGTTGTATATCTGTGATGGTTAAGGTTATGTGTCAACTTGGCTGGGCCATGATTCTCCTTCGTTTGTCGGTTATGTAATGATGTAGTCATCTTCCATGATGTGATCTGATATGATTAGCCAATCAGTTTTAAGGGGAATTTCCTCGGGGTGTGGCCTGCATCCAGTGTATATATGGATTTCTGGCAAAGCTCACTTGCTTGCTCTGGATCCTGCATTTCGCTCATCATCATCTGACCTCTAGTTCTTAGGACTTGAGCCAGCTGCCAGCCATCTTGCCTGCCAGTCTTGGGATTTGTCAGCCTCCACAGCCTGTGAGCCAGCAGCCTGCCATCTTTCCTACCAGTCTTGGGATTCATTAGCCTCTGCAGCCTGTGAGCCAGTAGCCTACTGTCTGACATGCTAGTCTTGGGTTCGTCAGCCCCTGCAGCTATGTGAGTCAGGAGAAGCCTCCAGCCTGATGCCTGACTCATGGACTTGGGACTTGCCAGCCTCTACAACCGCTTAAGGCAGCATCCATCACCATAAGCCATTTTAGAACATTTTCGTCATGCCCAAAAGAAATCCCATACCCTTTAGCATTCACCCCATGCTCCCTCTTCCCTGCCCTAGGCAACCAAGAATCTACCTTCTTCCTCTATAGACTTACTTTTTCTGGACATTTCACATAAATGGAATAGTACAATATGTGGTCTTTTATGACTGGCTTCTTTCACTTTGTATAATGTTTGCAAGCTGAAGCACAGTGACTCCCGTTTGCTCTTAGGTTTAAGATCACACTCCTTAATGCACTTACAAGTCCTGCATGATCTGATGCCTCTGTACCTCTTCTGTCTGTGAGTTCTGTTTGCTCATGACCTTGTTCTTTTTGCTTCAGCTGAACAAAACTTACTTCAATGTGCCATGGTATTCCCTTCCCTTGCCTGGAACATCCTTCCCATCCCCTTCATTTTGCCTGGCTAACTTGTGTCCTTCAGGTCTTTGCTTCAGTGCTACTTCCTGGGGTGGTGTGGGGGGCTTTCTCTGATCCTCCATGCCTTGCTGTGTGCTGCCAGAGCCCACTCTGTGTCCCCAGTCACAGCATTTATCCGACAGGACTGTAATTGCCATTTACTTGTCTGTCTACTCTGGACCATAGCTCAAGGGAGCAGAGTCCACATTTACCCCAGCTTTGGACACTCCACCTACAAAGAGTGGGTGCTCAGGGAGTCCTAACCAATGGACCTTCTGGAAAGAGACATTGAGTCTGGCTTCTTTTCTTCCTTATGATCTGCCCTGTCATTCACCCTTTGTAGTGTAGAGCCTGCCCTCATCACTGCCCCAAACTCTCTTGAAGGTTGCTAGCCACTATATGGTTTGTCTTCTTTTTCTTGAATCTCGCTACAGCATTTGCCACTGTTAAATACCTACATGGAATTCTCTTCTCCCTTATTGCCTGTGACATGACATTGCCCGTGTTTTTCTTCTGCTTATGTAAACTCTTTATTTCTTGTCATCCTCCAAGCCCTTGAAGATGGATCTTCCTGCAGTTCTGTATTCAAAATTTTCTGTCTGCTCTTTCAGCTATTCCTTCGACTTCACCTGTTATATGTGTGCAGATAAATGATTCCCAGTCTGTATGTGTAACCTGAATCCCTCTCCTGAACTTCAAATATGTGTTTCCGGCAGCCCGGTTGTCATCCTCTCCTGAGTATACTTCTGGTGCCTTAAAATTCTCATGTCCAGCAGTCAGCTTATCTTGTGTCCCTATGCTAGTTTGGACCCTAAGTACTTCCCACCTGGCTGACTCTAACAGCTTCTTACCCAGTCCTCCCACCTCATCTCTCTCTGCACTTCAGTGCCTTCATGCAGTTCAGCTTGTAACACATACTAAATACCTATTGCTATCAGGTAATTTTTAAAGGACAGCTCTAGTCATTTTATTCTCAGCTCAAAAAACCTTCAGGGCTTCCCTTTGCCTACCAAATCAAGTTCCTCAGCTATATCCCAGACCCCTATAAATAGGGCCCCAGCTGACTTTTCCACCATTTCTTTTTCATTCCTAATATTCAGGCCTAATTACTCCACCTGCTACTCCTCTTGCACATTTCTCTACTTGGTTGCTGTCCAGTATGGTAGCCACTAGCCACTTCTGGCTACTTTAACTTGACAAGTCCAGTTCCTTAATCATACTCACTATATTTCAAGGGCTCAGTAACCACATGTAGCTAGTGGCAACCGTATTAGACAGTGTAGGTAGAGAACATTTCCATCATTGCTGAAAGTTCTATGGACAGCATTGCTCTGTACCTTCTAGTTCATGTTCCTTCTAGCTAAACTATCTCCCGACCATCTCCTCCCCTCCTCCCCATGTCTACCTGTAAAATCGTTCTCCCTCCATCAGGGCCGCCCACCCAAATTCCACCTCTTCCCACAGCCTTTCCTGATCACTCCTTTTCTAATAAGATGAGATTCTCCCCTCCCTTTTTAGCCTCAGTAGCATTTTATTTGTTCTTCATTTATGAAACTGTGGCGGATTAATTACTTTTGTATGTGGCCTTTCTAGCCACAGTCTTGTACTCCCACCCAGGTGATTGTGCGATAGGGTAATTGTGGCCCACTGAGGGGATTGGTCAATTTTGCCTTAAAAGAGAGCCAGTTCCAGAGCAGAGAGGAGGAGCTCACCACCACAAAGGAAGGAGAGACCAGCAGGAGAGACCGGGTAGCAGGAGACGGTGCAGTGGGTTTCCCAGCCAATGGAGAGAGAAAGCTGAGTGCCTTTGGGCAGAGACTGAGGGCCAGGGAGAGGCATGCCTATGAGCACAGCTGGGGAGAGGCTGTCCTCATGGAAGAACTATATCCTGAGTGTCCTTGAGTCTGAATTGTAACTGCTGCTTCCCTAATAAACCCCATAATTGTGAGTATGATCTGTGAGTTCTGTGTGGCCATTGCAATGCATTATCGAACCCAGTAGAGAGTGCTGTGGGAGGGACAGTTGGTGTCAGAATTGGTAGAGATGGTGGAGGGAGGAGGCTTATCTGGCCTCTACCTCATAGGAATCAGCCTTGGGCTGTTGACCTTAGTTCACCTTTCCCCTTGTGGGGTTGGAGGAGGTCAGACACTGCCCCAAAGCCGTTTTTATAGAAACCTACCCAAGTCTGTTCTTATCTTATTTCCAGTACTAAAGTGGAAAATTTTTGAGGATAAAAACCACGTTAATGATCTTTTATCTTCTTCTGTGTATAGTGCAGTGGGAGTTTAATAAACATTTGTGGAATTGAATACCTAGAAAAGAGAGTGCCGCTTCTTTTTCTTTCTGTAATCAGCTACAGAGTGATTGTCTTGACAGTCTATTCTTTCTTCCTTACGTAACCACATAGGCCCCTTCCTGCAGGACCAAGCAAGAAGCACAGCCTCTGTCCTTTCCCCTGCTGCTTGTGCAAGTGGCCATGGGCAGCAGGCACATTCCATCTTAAAGCCAGTCTTGCTGGCACCAGTGCCAAGGAGAGCAACTGGCTGCAGAATACAGACATGATCCTCTGGCTGGGGCTGTGGGTCTGCACGTGGGAGGTGGAATTTCAGGGAGGGAATAATAGATGGATAACTGAGGGGCAGGTGGGCAGGGTGCAGACTACAGTCCTCGGAGAAGTGATCCCAAAAGAAATGACTGTGAAATGGCAGAGGATAACCAAGTGAAGGAAGTGGCAAAGCTCAGATATTAAATTGCTTGCAGGATGAGGAGCCAGAAGATATCTGTTCTTAGGCCCTGGAGAAACTTTCTGGTTTGGTTGTCACTACCCAGCTGCTTGTACTCATTGAGGCTTTTCTGTTAGCCCCAAATCACCTGCCATGAAGGTGACTTTTTGCCAGCATGATTTTCAGACACATTAGAGACATTTAGATGCTGGCCTCTTTGCTCTGATTTAGCTGCCCTTTGAGCTAAAGAATTTGCTGGTTATCCATCCAGTGACTACTGGGGGATGTCCTGAAGCTGAGAGACAGTGTGTGTGTGTGTGTGTGTGTGTGTGTGTGTGTGTGTGTGTGTGTGCATGTGCGTGCATGCATGTGTGTTCTGTAGTGGGGTGGAAGCATAAGCTATGAGAATAAGCTTACATTTTATTTGTTTTTCCAGGCTTATCTTGCAGAGGGAGAAGCACTTCCATTATCTGAAAAGAGGCCTTCGACAGCTGACAGATGCGTATGAGGTAACTCATTGCCCAGGAACTCATTCTTCAAGTCTTTAGCCAAGTCTTGATCCTTTTTATTCAAATACAAAAGACATAAAGCCTGTCCTGTTGCAGATTCATCCCTTGTACCATGTGGCTCTGGCAGGAAACCAAGTCCTTCTTCTTTAAAGGGGCAAATACCCTTGACCGCTAGCTAAAGTTCCCTATCATGTCATATTTCCCTAACCCTTTGCCCTATTGTTGTGTGCTGTCGAGTCAAATCTGACTCATAGCAACCCCATGTGACAGAATAGAGCTGCTGCATAGGGTTTTCTAGTCTGTAATCTTCATGGGAGCAGATCGCCAGTTCTTCCACGGAGCTCCGGGTAGGTTTGAACCGCCAACCTTTCGGTTAGCCACCAAGCACTTAACCATTGTGACGCCAGGGCTCCTTTGTCCTATTAGCTGATCTAATTTCTATACTGGCCAGAGGACCAGTATATAAATTGCAGAGGATACTACTTGCAGTTTAACAAGTAGATTTTAAATCATATTCCTCAGAGCCCTAGGGTTCCACAGAGTGATCTCAGCTATGGAAAGGGTATATGTGGGGAATAGGGTATTGGGAATGGGGCTGAGTGCAGCCAAAGGGTGGATAGGAACAGGTGGTCTCCTGCCTTCCTGCCTCACTTCACACAGAACAGCTCTGCTTTTAATCTGCTTCTTGTTTGCGGGACACCTAAGTTTGACTAGGAGCCCTGGTGGTACAGTGGTTAAAGCACTTGGCTGCTAACTGAAGGGTCGGCGGTTTGAACCCACCAGCCGTTCAGCAGGAGAAAGATGTGGCAGTCTGCCTCCATAAAGATTACAGCCTTGGAAACCCAATGGAGCAGTTCTACTCTGTCCTATGGGGTCGCTATGAGTCGAAATTGACTCCACAGCGATGGGTTTGGGTTTTTTAAGTTTGACTGTTTATGTCAGGGGTTTGCAAACTCAGATGCCTGTAGGGCCCAAGCAGGTAGCATAAATAAGTGAAGTTGGTTGGGTGGAGGCTGAGGCAAACTCGAGGCTCCGTGCTTTTACTCTGTTCCCACCAATTGCTGCTATGCAGGAATGCAGACCCACAGTTGCAAGATCTCTTCTTTTTTTCAAATGAAGCCAGGAGTCCGGATATTTATGTGAATCCACCAATAGTAAAATGTTGGAACCAATTCTAAATAAACAAACAAAACATTGCAAGCAAAACACATCCATGGACAAGATCTGGCTTTTGGGCTCTCAGTTTCCAGCCTTTGACTGAAGTCCTCAATGATTACAGCCCAGTCAGTCCTGATAGAATTAATACCAGAATGGCTAATGATTTATTAGAACCGGAGCTAAAAGCTTAATATGTATTATCTTATTTAATCCTCACAAGTACTATATGAGGTAGGTATTTTTTACAGATAAGGAAGCAAGCATAACAAGATAAGTAATTTGTCCAAAAACACATAGGTAGTAAGAGAAGGAGCTGGGATTCAAACCCAGGCAGGCCATATCCATAGCAGCATCTTCAGTCACCATACCAGACTGCCCCCCAGGCAGCAGGCTAGCAAACTGCCACAGTTCTGGACGTACCATGCATTGATGAAGAGGGCTGCTGGAGCCTGTGGAGAGAGCATTGGATTGGAAGTCTGAAAAACTAGCTTCTTGTCGCAGCTCTGACATTTACTGTCTTAATGATCTGGAAGAAATTAACCTCTCTGGGCCTCATTTATATACTTCTAATCTGTAAAACTGGGATAGTAATCCTACCTGCCGTGCCCTGCCTAGCCTTGAATGCCCAATAAATATGTATAGCTTGAATTAGGATCAACACCTGTTCACATATCACCTTTGGAAGGCTTCACTAGCACCCCAATTTAGGGTTAGTCTCTTCTGTGTGTTCCCTCAGGACTCTGTTTCTGCCCGTTACAGTGTGTACGTGTATGTATGTGTTATATTCTGCCTTGTTGCAGAAAGACTCAGGGTAACTATGGGTCTGTCTAGTGTCCTCTTCTACAGAGATAACTACATACATTTTATATTCCCAGCATCTCAAGAATAGGAACCAAATTGTGTTCATTATCATGGCCCCTGTATCTGATACAGTGCTTGGCACAGGTACATACTAAGTACTTCCAGAATCAGTGAGTGAGTTAAGCCAGGAAATCCCTTCCTGAGATTCTGCTGTATATCTCCTTGTGTCTACACTGAGAAAATAGCAGCACTTGATGTCCTGGTGTGTAAGAAGTCCTCTGCTCAGCCTTCTTTAGATGCCTGCTGGAGAAGGACCCATCAGGTTCAAGGTAAAGTTCTTTACCTTATTATCCTTTTCTCACTGTGATCATTTTAGCTCCCAGCTAAGGCCACAAAGCAAAGCATCCTTCATTCGCTGATTCTTGTCCACAGGGCGGCTTCCTCCCCCTTGCTAGGCTGCCAGGGGTGAGACAGATGTCGCCTTGTCAGCAGTATCTCAGATTGATTCTGAATAAGGGGCGTGTTTTCTCCCCCCTCCCTGTCACAGTGTCTGGATGCCAGCCGCCCATGGCTCTGCTATTGGATCCTGCACAGCTTGGAACTGCTAGATGAACCCACCCCCCAGATGGTGGCTACAGAGTGAGTCTGGCTCTGGGGGATCTGGAATGTTCTCTGAAATTGTATTTTGAGTTTGGGGTTCTTTTTGCTGGGTTTCTGTTTCTGTTTGTTTTGAATGAAAATGCAGAGTGCTACAGAAATCCTTGCCCTTCTCCTGACCTCCAGTAGCTTCCTGAAACTCCTCCCCTTTAGAAGCCTATTATAAGCTGGTGGGTAGAACAAGACTTTGAACTCCCCAGAGAAGGATTCTAGTTTCTTCTGTGGCCTTTTCTTTTGGCTCTTGCTCTGGTCTTTGAGGAAAGTCTTCACATCAACCCTGAAAGACATGATTTCTCCAGAAACTACAGTATGCATTTGAGTAGCTCCTTTGAGAAAGCGTGTGCCAACCCAAGGAACAAAAATTTCTGTGCCTTCCATAAACACCTCCACAGAAGCACCCCACCAATGCAGTGCCTGGGGTAATAGTATAGTTCTTGATGGCACTGGATGTGTTGCCGTCTTGGTGTGCAATTGCCATGACTCACAATTTTCTTAAATGTCTGATTTATGATTCGAGACTCAGGCGACTGAGATTCTTCCCAAGCTGCTTGTACAGCTTGTGTTCTCAGTGTGGCACCTCACTCTCAGAAGCTTGCCACAGTTTATATTTTAATCAAGCAAAAAGCTGATCATCACTCCAGTCTTAGTGATACCCAGGATAGACAAGGATAGCCAGGAATCGGATCCGATGTCCTAGTCGCACTGAGAGAGTGTGTCCATCTTGCTTCATCCACTCCCTCTGGTGCTTCTGCGGGAGAGGACTCTAGGAGGAAAAGCTCCTGAGCCAGGTTCTCATTTCTGCAGCGCACAGAGGCAGCTGTGCCAGGAGGCAGGGAGACCAGCTGGTGCCCCTGCCTCGTCACAGCGCCCCTGCCCTGGTCACATTTGTCAGGTCAGAAGAACAGAACTGCGCATTGTCTCATTCATTCTGTCTTAACAATAACCTCTCATTCTTGCTTTCCTGGGCAGGGTGTCTTGTGATGAATGTGGATGGGGGAGATAATGAAGAATTAGGCCATTAACCCTTGTGATGTATACAAAACTTTCTGAGGGAGAGGAAAAATATGCATTGTCTTCATCATCAGGATGCTACTGCAAGCAAAATTGCCTCTAGCACAGGAAGTCGAGTTGGACAGTTTCTGCAGTAACAGGAATTTAATTGTCAAAATAAAGCCCCATGTGTTTTTGAAATACCAGTTGGGGGTTGTGGGTTGTTTGGGAAGTTTTTCCCCTACACATCCACAATCAGGATGCGCTCTAGTGGAAAGAAAAGAAAAAACAAATGGGAGGATTCTGTGATAGAGGAGGACGTAGGCCAATTTGACATGGGAAAGTAGAATGATAAGGGATATCTGAAGTAGAAGAACTTAAGTCAGAATCAGTTTTGAGTTTTCTGGTTTGTATAGTTGGTTGTTTATAGTGAAGCTTTTCTGAGGAATTAAGTCTCAGAGCTTCTGTGAGCTAGTTTTGTGGCCACACGAGGCTGAGAGAGCCCTTTCAGTGGCTTTTCACAACGAACAACTGGAAACAGCATAACTACCTAGCAGTAGGGGATGCTTTAAAATCTAAAGTTTAAACAAATTATGGTGTAATACATACAATGAAATATCATGTAACCATTTAAAAATTTACATATACATATAAACCCAAAACCCGTTGCCGTCAAATTGATTCCGACTGATAGCGACCCTATAGGACAGAGTAGAACTGCCCCATAGAGTTTCCAAGGAGCAGCTGGTGGATTTGAACTCCTGACCTTTTGGTTAGCAGCTGTAGCTCTTAACCATGCGCCACCAGGGCTCCATATATACATGTATGTGTGTATATATAAGGAGTCCCTGGGCGGTGCAAATAGTTAAGCACTTGGCTATTAACCGAAAGGTTGACAGTTTGAATCCACCTAGAGGCACCTCAGAAAAAGTCCTGGCAATCTACTTCTGGAAGGTCATAGCCATTGAAAACCCTATGGAGCACAGTTCTACTCTGACACACATGGGGTCACTGTGACTTGGAATTGACTTAATGGCAGCTGGTTTGGTTTTTGTTTTTTGTGTATATATTAACAGAGAGAGAGAGATGTTCATGTTTTATTAAGTGAAAAAGGGTAGTTAAAAAGGTTTGACCTCTATAGAGTAAAAATAGATGACTAATATGCATAGAAAAAATTATAAGGACATATGCAAACATGGTAATAGTTATTTCTGGATGGTAGAGTTCATTCATTCTTTCCTAAGCTTATTTGCGTTTTCTAAAATTTCTACAATTGCTATAGTTGTTTTGTAATTAAAATAATGTTTTAAAAATAAACTGATTTGCCATAATTTTAAGAACCACTTGATAGTTGATGACTGAGAGTTTCTTCTTCACAGCTGCCTTAAAAACTTTACCTGTCGTTCTTCTGAGCAATGTTATGAAGACTTTTAAAAAATTACTTAGACTTACCAGTAATATGTTTTGTTTTGTGCCTAGCAGGCAATTCTAGGTGCAGATAATATTTGTTATGAACAGAGCCTTATAGTTCTGACCTGTAAGGAAATGAACTACTTTTTAGTATGATATAAGGAGCCCTGGTGGCACAGTGGTTAACCACTCGGCTGCTAACCAAAAGTTCAGCAGTTCGAACCCACCAGCCACGCCGCAGGAGAGTGATGTGGCTGTCTGCTTCCGTAAAGATCACAGCCTTGGAAACCTTATGGGGCATTTTTGCTCTGTCCTATAGGGTCGCTATGAGTCGGAAATGACTTGATGGCAATAGGTTGGGGGTTTAGTAAGATATAGAGCAATCTTAATGATGTCTATAAAAATGCGAAGTTTTTTTTTTTTGACTACTTAATATAGGATACTGCCATTTTATTTGTTTTGCACAGGGAAAAGAAATGCTTTACAAATAACAGTGTTTTTTTTACATAAATGTTAAAGTGACCTAGAGGCAGAGAGTTTAGCCCTGGGGTTTCATTGTTTTCTAGTGCTTGCGCGTGCACACACACACATACACATACACACAAAGGTTTTTCTCTCTTTCCTATTTTGTTCACTGTTGTGCTTGTATTTGTTTAAGGAACAATATGACAAGCTGGGTTCCCTCTAGTGGACAAAGTCATTTTTGTCAGCTACCATGACTGTTGCCCAAGACCAGAAAAGCCAGGTTTCCATTGCTGGTATCAGATATTTCATTAAAAATATATTCACAGACAAGGATTTAACTTACCTCTCTTAAGAAACTGTATGCATAAATTTATATGTGTATTTACATAAAATAATATTTTTGGAACCAGACTAATCACATTTGCTTTGCTTAATGATTTTATCACTGAAGGAAGTACCCTTTAATGAGAACTCCCATGCTTTGTTATTGAAAGCCACTTTAATAAAATGGAGTAAAATAAAAATCACAGAGAGATTGTTACACTGTAAAAGTTAGGTTTTTAGCTTCTGTAAGATCTACAAATTATCTCTAACTTAAAAATTCTTTTAAGACATTTCAGCACATAAAATTTTTGCAAAGATCAATTCACATTTTGATACGCCAATGTTTTATTATTTCCCATTGAAGGGTTAGTAGCTTGTCTCCTTAAATATTTTTCTTTTTAATTTTTAAATTTAAATATAATTTCTATGTTTCCTTACCTTTCAACTAGGAGATAATATGTAGTTATTTGTCTCCTGGGCACTTTTTGACCAGATGCTGCTGGGATGTAAAAAGATGCCGCTAAACATCCTACACTGAACAGGATAGTCCCCACAACAAAGAAGCATTGGCCCAAGGTTGAAAAACCCTGCTCTAAAATAACCAAGTTTAGATTTGACCATACTTTTAAAATAGCTGCTGTCCAAAAGATTGCCTTCACTTGATGAAGAGTCAAATAACCTGTCTGACCGTACAAGCAGTATGGCCTCCCGGAATTAGCGAGACACCCTACCTGTCTTTCACCTGTTCATTGCCATACTCTACCTAGGAAGGAATTTTCCTCTCCATTGTATTAAGCTGAAGCTGTTTTATTGGGAAATTTGAAAGAATTAGTACTAGGAGATTAATACTACAAGAAACCTAATGTCAACTCATCCATCTTGCATTTACATCTATTCCTGAGCCAGTCCGCTCAAGGAATGATTGTTCCTTGTCTAGGTCTCAAGTCTGTCCATGGTAACCTATTCTGGCGCTGAAGTTTTCTCTTGAATCTAAATTCTTCTTGCTGCAGATTAGTCTCAATTTTTGTTCTTTACTAGGAAGTTTTTATAATTACCCTTTGCATGCTTGCAGGATTTGTCTGGGTAGCTTCCTCACTGTGGTTGTCTGTGTAATATTAAGTATTTTAATATTTCTTTGTATTTAGCTATTTTTACAACTCTAATCTAAACTCTCTTTAAGTTGGAAAATGGAGGCTTGGGCCAGATACAGTCCTAACCAGTATTGGGTTCATGACGCTTTTAACAAACATTTTTTTTGTTGTTCGTAACTCACGGACCCACAACCTCTGGTTCTTTTTCTGCTGTATTTCTAGTCATTTCCCACCTTGCATTTATATCCTTTATTCATCCTCCAAACCTGCCATCACTAAGTATATTACTGGCTACTTATACCTATTTCATTTTGTTTTATTCTTATTGGCCTCTGATTTGATTTATATTATTGGGGACTTCAGTTCTCACCTTGGAAGTGTTCCCTGCTTGTTTTGTATTATTTGCTTATTTACTGTACATGCTTTTGAGTCCTTCATCCAGGTTTGTGACAGTGATGTCTAGAATCAACCACTTGTTAGATCACTTTTTCAGTCCTCAACTACCACGTAAAAGTATGAGTTAATTCCTATAAGGCTAACAGTAAATCGTGAATAATTTTGCTTTGAACTTGATCCTCTTTTAAGTTTTACATACTCTTTAGTGGTTGAATGATAGAACACTGCTATCTAATAGAACTTTCTGTGATAATGAAAATGTTCTGTGTTTGTGCTGTTCAATTTGGTAGCCGCTAGCCATATTTGCGAGCCCTGGTGGTGTAGTGGTTAAGAGGTTGGCTGCTAACCAAAAGGTGGGCAGTTCGAATCTACCAGCCACTCCTTGGAAACCCTGTGAAGCAGTTCTACTCTGTGCTGTTGGGTCACTATGAGTCAAAATCGACTTGAGGCAACGGGTTTTTTTAGCCACATATAACTGTTGAACACTTGAAATGTGTCTTGTGTCATCGAGAAGCTGAATTTTAAATTTAAATTAATTTAAAGTTTAAATAGCCACATATGGCCAGTAGCTACCTATTGGTCAGCGCAAATCTATAGCATTAAACCCATTGCTGTCGAGTCAATTCCCACTCATAGCGACCCTGTAGGACAGAGCAGAACTGCCCCATAGGGGTTCCAAGGAGCAGCTGATGGATTTGACCTGCCAACCTTTTTGGTTAGCAGTCAAGCTCTCAACCACTGCGCCACCAGGGCTGCATGTCTGGAGTAGTGGTTCTCAACCTTTGTGTGTATCCAGATCGCCTGGGAATTTGGTAAAAATAGGCCCAGGTTCTTTCCTTCAGCAAGCTGGGCTGCTGGGGTCTCTGTATTCTGTGTTAGCTTTCCAGTGATTTTGATATACACATTGTGGGTTTGAAATTCCCTGATCTAGAAGATAGTTTTGTATTTTGTTGGTAGTTGTCACATAAGCTAGATTGAAATGCTATGTTGATGTTAAAGAAAATTGATCTACTAGATCTTTTAGTCATATTAGTAAATGAATGGGTTTGTGCAGACTTCACAAAGTGTGGCACCCTGGTGGCATAGTGGTTAAGAGCTTGGCTGCTAACCAAATGTCGGCAATTTGAATCTACCAGCCACTCCTTGGAAACCCTGTGGGGCAGTTCTACTCTGTCCTATTGGGTTGCTATGAGTCGGAATCAACTTGACAGGAATGGGTTTTTTGGGTTTGGCAATCTCTTGGTGTTTGCACAATGTTTCCTGCTTGTGATTTTTTAGTTAGTTGGGAAATTTCTGGCCTCTACAATAATTTTTCTCTCCCTTTTGATAGATAGAATTATCTTTAACAACATCTTGGTTTTCAGAATTGCTAAGAATTCTGCAAGTGACAGCTGGTAGCGTCATGGTCAAATTTGCCAGTCCCTTAAGGTATAAGTTCTTGAGCCTCTGGATCAGAATGTTCTGTGATCCGTTAGTGTCTGAGATTCAAGAAAAGCCCAACCCCCAGCTCCCCAGCACCACCCCAAAGGCAGTCAGATGTAGCATGTCAGCTGAGAGAGGTTGGCGTGGAGAGGGGATTTAAAGGTGTCTGGTACATTCAGATCCTAGTTCCATTTCAGACTTTAGGCTACAGGGTCAGGAGTGTTACATTCTGCTGATTCTATCTTGGGAACTGGGGGAGGGAATGGATAACTAGGTGATTTTTTTTTTTTTTTAAGTTTTATACCAGCTAAAGCTTTTTGTGATTCAAAACGCTTCTTGTATGCTAGTGCAGCCAGCCTTTGTTAGGATGTGACCCTATTAGCTATTTGTTTCTGGAAAATGGAACAAAAATTGATGAAGGTTTGGCAAATACGTTAAGAACAAATTAAATTCTCTATGAAAATTAATTGCTATTAAAAATATGCCACAGAACTGTCTTCCTTCTCATTACCAATTTCAGTTTCAATCCTTACATTTCCTACAGTAAAATTTTAGGTGTAAATAGAAGTGAATTTGTATTGTTTTTAATCTGTGATTAAATCAGGACTCAAGTAGCATGCCAGCAGCATTTTCTATTGCTGTCTGCTCAGATAATGAAAGGTCTGAATCAAAAGTAATCAAATAATGACAGGGAAAGCAGTAATAAACTTGTGTCTTAGTGGAGATTAACTAGACTGTACGTGGTCTCTCTGGCAGCAGTAGATAAGAAAGAATGAAATGAAAAGTGCCCAGGAAAAGAAGGCTCCCTGAGCACTAGAAGGACACAGGCTTGCATCTTGTTCTCTTAAATGGAAGCTTGTCCTGAGAGGAAGGCTGTGACCCCTGCTGAGTCATGGACAAACAACTCGATAGCCAAGGCTTTCCTGGAGCACCCCTTTCTGGTAAACTCACACAAATACAATATAACTTCTGGTAACCTGATGCCATGCTTGGAGACAAGGGCTATTTTAACACACTCAACCCTTCAATAAACAGAACTAGAGCTTCTTAAGAGCCCTGATGGCGCAATGGTTAAGCATTCGGCTGCTAACCAAAAGATTGGCAGTTTGAACTTACCAGTGGCTTCAAGGGAGAAAAGACCTAGCAATCAACTCCCATAAAGATTACAGCCTAGGAAACCCTATGGGGCAGTTATACTCTGTCATATAGGGTCGCTATGAGTCGAAATCGATTCGACAGCACACGACAACAGAGCCTATTTGGATTAGTGTGAAAAGTTCTCCAGGAACCCACAGACTGTGATGCATACTTGTGATATGAGTCAACAGGGCTTCTCTGAAAGTGACCACATGAGGTGTGCATGATAGAAGTGTACATGATAGAAGACTACCTCTCTTTCATTCTCCTAACCACAGAGGCAGACCCCAGTAAGAGTTTGTGTCTTACTGGTGGTAGAAATAAATAACCAGTAGCCACTCAGGTCCAAGTGGCAAAAAGAGTGAGAAAGCATCTTCAAATATTCATAGTTGGCCAAGGTAATGGATCTAGACCAGGGTGTTAGTGTGGAAAGAAGCAGTCGAGCACCACTCTTCTAGGCCAAATTCAAAGGTTGGGAGGTACTCCATAGGCAGGGAGAAGGAGGCAGGTACCACAGGTCCAGGGAGGCAAATGGAACAAAAAGGATGGGAAAGATTTGGTAAAGAAGAACAGTGCCAGCGTGTGGAACCCTTACTCCCAGTTCTGTGAAAGGCTGTTGTTGCTGCCTGGTCTTATGTTCCTTGCTTCATGACTAGGCAAATGCTTAAATACAAAACTCAGGTAGGAGGGCAGAACCTGATGATATCAAGGTAGAGAGCTAAGTCCTTTGGGGGTGGTGGTTTATATTCAGTAGGTGGGAGGAAATTATTTTTTCCCTTTTGAGGGAGGAGGCGTCATTGGAAAGACATGGAATCTAGTGTTTAACAATGCTAGAGTAATGCTTTCTGACTTTGTTTTTTCCATTTGACTGTGTATCTAGTGTGTGCCAGTTCCTGGAGCTGTGTCAAAGCCCAGAAGGTGGCTTTGGAGGTGGCCCTGGTCAGTACCCACACCTTGCACCCACATATGCAGCGGTCAATGCACTATGCATCATTGGCACCGAGGAGGCCTACGATGTCATTGACAGGTACAACCCGAGCCAGCAGCTACAAACCCAGAAGGGCTCCCTGCCTGCTGACCCTGCAGTGACCATTGCCCTCTCCTGCCTTTCTCCCATTTGTTTCTCAGAGAGAAGCTTCTTCAGTATTTATATTCTCTGAAGCAACCTGATGGCTCTTTTCTTATGCACGTTGGAGGTGAGGTGGATGTGAGGTGAGTAGGGTTTTTTCTCAGGCTGCTGATCAGTAGATTCTAGAGCTTATCTGCCATTAGAGATGTCAAACCCTAAGGACCAACAGGGGTCAGTATTAAACTTTTGGGAAAGCTGCTGCTTTGTTCTCACAGAATGACATGGTTTCATAATGACATGGTGTCATAATCATGGCAAATGTGATACCATGGCCTCAGGATGGCCCTTTTTCTAGTAGTGCATTTTAAAAACCATTATCACCAGACCTTTTTTTGTGTAAATATAAAAATGTAAGTAAAACTTAAAATAAAATGCTTTTGTTTTAAAAATCAAAAATACATTTGTTTGGTATAATATGTACTGTAATATATGATAACTGTATAGTACAATTTATTTTTTTAAATAATATTTATTGTGTTGTCAGTGAGAGTTTACACAGCAGATTAGGTTCCCATTTAACAATTTATATTCAAATTATTCAGTGACATTGGTTACATTTGTATAGTGCAATTTAATCTTTCATCTGTCTAGGACTGGTGTTGTTGTTAGGTGCTGTTGAGTCAATTCCAACTCATAGCGATCCCATGTACAACAGAATGAACCACTGCCTGGTCCGACACCATCCTCACAATCATTGCGATGTTTGAGCCCACCACTGCAGCCACTGTGTCAGTCCATCTCGTTGAGGGTCTTCCTCTTTTTCACTGACCCTCTACTTCACCAAGCATGATGTCCTTCTCCAGGGACCAGGAAAAGAAGAGAAAGCCCAGTAGGGTCTCATGAGAATTTTTAACACTTGAGATCCTCCCAAGGGATGTGAGAGTAGCTTTGGGAGGTACAGAAACCCTCACGGGCCAGTAGAGAGCAGTGCAGTAAAGTGGCATTAATGAATTGGTACCAGTTGGCTCAAATTATTACTTAAGAAGTGTCTGATGTTACCTAGCTAGTAGCTTACTCAGCTGCCAAGAGATTACTTATGAAGCATATAGGGAATTCACTGAGTAAGTCATTTCTCAAAGGTGGCAGGTCATTGAGATTTCATACCATTTCCTTATTATTTGGTCTGAGAAATACATTTTTCGTAAAGTTTCTAAATCAAAGCCATGTTATTTCCTATTTGTACATGGGTTTGCTTCTGTACAACTTGATTAATAATCTGGTTTAAGTGAAATAGAAAACCATTGGTTTGAAAGTATAGAGAAAGAACAAAACTTAAAAGTTGTGAAACATAAAACAGATTGCAGATAAAAGTAGGTAACCAGGCTGCAAAGGCCTTTAGAAAAGATTTTCTTCTATCTGTGACCTATCTGTCCAAATAAAATTAGACTAGGCATCTGTATATACCAAGAGAGCCAGTAGAACTGTTGAGGTAAAGCAAACTCTTCTTAAGGAAAAAGGAAAAAAAAATTTTTTTCATCCCACAGTCACTGTATTTTCTTTCCTATTCTGTAGATACGCCAGTCAAACAGTGTTGAAACTTAGCTTTTTAAAACATGCTGAGGTTATTAGGCAGAAGTGGACGAACACTGGCAAGACTCCCTTGGTGTTATGTCGTATACCTTTTTCAGATATGATTATTTTCTAACTTATTCATTCCAGCACCAGTGTTTTCTATGTTCTTATTCAGACCTGCTAGACAAATGCTAGGAAGCTTCTCCAATAAAATAGGTTTGTCCACTGAAGAGTACAGTAGCCACATCCCTCCACCTAAGCTCTTCTGGTAATACTCTGCCATTCTAGCCTATGATTTTCACTTACAGGAAGGATTAAAGATGTGAATGATGGAAAAATCTATCAGATCACATCCAGTTTCCTTGCTTTGCTTGGTTTCTTGTACCCCATTTCCCTCGTTTTTCACTTGATGTTTAATTGTCCTTGGCCTGGAAGCACCTGCCAGTTCTCAGGAGTGGTTGTTGATGGATTTGACCTAGAGGGAGACAGCAGTGATTGAGGACAGTTTGGCGTCTGAACACTGGCTTGCACTTATTCTAGGTTAGACAAAGACGGTCTCTTGATGATCTTTCAGGTTCTATGACAACTCCTCATAGTTTCTGGATGAGCTTACTCAAGAGTTTATGGCTCCATTGTACTTCAGATAATCAAATTGCAGTGAACTCATAGCAGGCACCATATTTTCTCAGTCCTTAAAAAAGGAGTAAGTATTTATTCCTGACTTCTAATTTAGGTTATCTAATCTGGAATATTTCATGGGGGTGGTAGGGAAAGAGGGACCCAACATTTGCAGACGTTTAGGTGATAGAGAGTGGGTGTGTTCAGGAGACGAGACATTCTTGTGGCTGGAGCATATAGGGCATGGTGGGCAGTGGTGAGAATTGAAGCTGGAGGGGCCGGCTGGCTAGGGACAGACTGCCGAGGCCCTGAACGCTCCTTAAGGAGTCTGCAGTTTATTTTAAGGGCAGTGGGAAGCCACTGAAGGATTTTAAGCAGGGAGTGGCATGATCTGCTTTGTATTTTATTAGGAGTTCTCCAGTTGCAGTGAATGGATTTTAGTGTTTTAGTGAAAGTACCCTGGTTTCAGGGCTGGAGGGAGGGAGACCGGACAGGAGACTGATCCAGGCAGAAGATAATCGTAACTTGGATTTGGGTGACGGCAGTGAGGATGGAGAGAAATGGACGAATTTAGGAGATGTGGTGACTGGATGAAAGGAGAGAGGAAGAGGCTACATGAAAAAGTTGTAATTTGTTCCCTCCCTGTCTCAATGTGAGATCTAGGACTAGGGGCCTCTGGCACTAGTTCTTAGTTCTTTCATTTATGAGAGGCAGATGACATTATTGGCTGCCTCCCTGCCTCAGAGAATTCAAGAGCAAATACTCTTGGATCTTTGAGAGGCTCAAAGCCGGAAGGAAATTAGATGAGACCTCCGAAGTGAGCTTATGGTAAATGGTAACATTTGGCATTGGCACGTATGACTCTCACTTCGGATGCCTGCTGGGGTAACCAAACCTCTGCTGTGATTTTGGCTAGAATATGCAGGGCTGATAAAAATGTTGTTAGGATAATAATGCCTGCAGCTTCTGCAGAGATTTCTTTGGAATGCTTCAGTAGGCCTAGTGTTATGTCTTTTTCCTCCTTTTTATGTTTCTTAGGAGCCTTTAGAAAAAGGATTGTGAGCAGAATTGAACAAACAGTTTTTGTCTTCAACATAAAATGAAGCTAAGATGCTGCATATTTGAAAAGACCATAGAGAGCAAGAAAAGGCAGACTGTAGATGTGTTCCATGGTGAGGGGGAAGCCGAAATAAAATGCGTCCTGAGAGGAATTAGGGCTAGGAGGTTGGAATGGCAAGAATTATTCCAAATCAAGTTGGATAACATTTAAAAACAAATAAATAGACGTGCTATTTCTTTTTCATCTAAAGACGTGTGGAGGTGGAGGTGGTGAGGTGCTTGAAATCAAAGCACTTATCTCCCTCTAGAGATTTAAGGAATGTATCTGAGTAGGCTCATCTGTTTCTGTCCCCCTTGTTTGGTCTAAGCAACCATTAGGGTCTGGTGCCCTGCTTTGGCATGTATCTGTTGCAGAAAAAAAATCTACCGTTAATACCATTAATGTGTTCATGCCATAAACAGACTGAAATCCTAGAACTAAAACAGTATTGACATCTGAATGAATGAGCATATCAGAAATACCTGAATGGTACCATGGAATTGTGGGAGCCATGGCAGGTCTTTGAAAAAAGCGCTAAACTCCCATTAGACATGAGTTGATATGGCTGTTATTTGCTCTGATGTAGATGTGACCGTGTGGAGGTAGGGAGAATAGAATGTCATGTTCTTTCACTGAAGCCATGCCCTAGCAGCTCTATGCAGATAGAATGTCAGACCTCTCAGTTGGAGACCCAGGAGGACTGACTGTGTGCCAAGAGTGAGGACAGGAGGTGATTACAGCTAATGAGGCAAAGAGAGGAACCCACCCAAGAAGTTCAGTGAGCTTTGTTTAGGTTCTCCCTTAAAGCTTAACACTGTTCCCCTTCTGTTTTTATCCTGCCAGGAGTGCGTACTGTGCTGCCTCAGTAGCGTCCCTGACAAACATCATCACCCCAGACCTCTTTGAGGGCACTGCTGAATGGATAGCAAGGTGAGAGAAGCTGGGCTGTTTCCTAGCCTCCTAGATGGCAGGTGGTCGAATATTTACTTCTGAAAAATAAAGAAAACAAAAAAGCACTAGAAGGAATTATAAAGTTACAAGAGATATATTATTAGGCTTCTAGGATTGTACATTTTAAAAATGCTTAAAAATTTTTCTGTATTCCAAACTTTGTTTAATGTTGTATAATTTATTGATTGGCAAATACCAAAAACTTTGATAAACAGGCTTGGTGGGAGTCTAAATTGATTTAGCCAATTTGGAGAGCAATTTGGCAATATCTCAAAGTTACTTTTGCTTGTTGTTGTTGTTGTTAGGTGCCGTCAAGTCAGTTCCGAATCATAGCGACCTTGTGTACAACAGAACGAAGCACTGCCCTGTCCTGAGCCATCCTCGCGATCGTTGTTATGCTTGAGCCCATTGTTGCTGCCACTGTGTCAGTCCATCTCATTGAGGGTCTTCCCCTTTTTCGCTGACCCTCTACTTTACCAAGCTACTCTTGCTTGTGACCCAGTAATTCCACTCCTACAGAAACTTCTGTATGCATTCATGAAGGAGACAAATATAGAAATCATTTATAATAGCAAAATGCTGGAAATAGGTTAAATCTCCATAAGCACGAGATTGGATAAGTACATTGTGGTATAGTCATATTGGAATGTAATATATAGCAGTTAAAATGAATGAACTAGAGCTACCTGTATCAGTAGAGATAAATCTCAAAAACATAATGTTGAATTAAAAAAGGATGTTAAAGAAAACATGCAGATCAATATATTTAAAATTTGAAAGCGTGCAAAAGAAGGCTATGTGGTTTATGGGAAGAATCATATGCAGTAATAATATAAATATATGTAGGGGAATGATAAACACCAAATTCAGGATAGTGGTTACTTCTAGGGAAGAAGCAAAGGAAATGAGATCGATCAAGGAGGGTTACACAGGAGGCTTCAATTGTCTGTAATAGTTTATTTCTTTAAAAAAAAAAAAAAAAAAGACCTGAAGTGTATATGGCTAAATCAAAGCTAGGTGTTAAGTACATGTATGTTCTGTATATCATTTGCTATACTTTCCTGAATGCTTCAAATATTTCATAATTTAAAAAAGAAAACTAAAGGTATATATGGATATGTGGGTACTATTATAGAATGATATCCAAACTGTATTGTTTTATTTTTATTTTTATCAAAATTGTACTTGTTACTATGTAAATATTGTTTACAGCTGAACCAGATAATATACTATGATCATATTTACTTTTTTGTATAACTTTTATTTTCCTGGAGTTAATCATTACCTCTTTTTTTTTTAAAAAGAAAAAAAAAGAAAATGTTTCATGAATTCATTCTCACATTCTCTGCCAGAGCTATAAAGTTACTTACAATGCAGTCAGACACTTCAGGTAGTCTGTCAGTTCTCTTGTGTGTATGTGTGTGTGTTTGTGTGTGGGTTTTCAATCATTCGTCCTGGAGCCTTCTATCTCTGCTTCAGTCTGGACAGATTGCTCTCAGCTTGCTGCACAGCAAGCATCCAGGAGCTTCCTTTCAGCATGAAATTTCCTTCATTTCTCTCCTTTGTTGGAGCTCCTGTCTTCCTTTTTCTTGGTTTACTTACTCTCATTTTAATGAAGCACATACTCCAATAAATGCCAGAAAAGGGCGCTTGGTAGATGCATTTTTAAGATTTTCCATATGTCTTTATTCTATTCTCACACCTGATTGATAGTTTATTTGGTTCAAGATTTCTAAATTGGAAATTGTATAAACTTTATTTCTTCAGAATTTTGCAGGTGCTGCTCCCTTACCTTCTGACCTTCAGTGGCATTGTTAATAAGGCTGATGAGACTAGCCAACATTGAGCACTTACTATGTAATGTTCAGTAGTAAGGTAGCTTTAGTTTAGAGATTGAGAGTATAGGTTTTCAAGCTGGATTGCTTGGGTTTGGTTCTTTTCTATATTTTCTGTCTCCCATTTTTTTATTCATTACAAGTATATTTTTCTTCACCTCACTGAGGTAAACATAATTATAATAGATGCTTCAAAATCCTTGTTTGATAATCCAGCAACTGAGTATCTTGGAGTTGGTATGTGTTGATTTTTTTTTTCCTTTGAGACTGGGTCACATTTTCCTGACTCTTTGTATGTCAAGTAATTTTGGATTGTATCTTGGACATTGTGATGTTATGTTATAGAGACTGGATTTTGTTGTATTGCTCCAAAGAGTGTTGATGTTTTGTTTTAGTAGGCAATCAACTTGTTTAGACTCAAACTACAAATCATCACTCCTGCAGTGAGCAGTGACTCAAATCTCAGGTCAATTCTGCTTTCAATTTGTCCATTGCATGTGTGATTCTGGGGCCAGCCAGAGACTTGAGCTGAGTTTAAACATAGAATTTGGGGTTTCTTCTCTGGTTCTCCTCTTTCTGAGATTCCTTCTCACTCTCTAGCAATCTGGTTCTTCTTGCCAGAAAGATGATGAGCTTTCTATTAGTGTTTTGGCTGCCCTCCCTCTACCCCTGAACTGCTGCTGCCATCCTTAGGGCAAACCACGAGGACAGGAGGACAAAAACAAACAAACTGGCAAACCAGGGGCAGGGGTAGGGACTAACTCCCTGCTGTTTGCTCCAAGTGTTCAGTCCCCACCAAAATCTGTCTGCTTTTTTTCAGTCTGCTGAGCTCTTAGGAAGCTTTTTTTTTTTTTTCGTATTTTGTCCAAACTTTATAGCTGTTATTTGTGGGAGGATTGATTTGTTAGGCAGTTACTGGAAGTGGAACTCAGACAGCCTGGGTTTGAATCCCAGTTTTACCACTTATTAGCTGAATGCCTTGGATAAGTTATTTAACTTCACCATGTTTCTTTATATGTCAAATGATGGGATATCGAATTTGATATTAAGCTGAGATACAAAGTGGACCAGAGATGTTATGGTAGCCTCTGTGCTATATTGCTTCCCAGTGCTATTGTGATTCCCAATCTTTTATATGTTTTTGTTTTGATTTTCTTTTTCTTTATCCCCACCCACCCCACTACCCTCTCTAGAAGCTTTTGGAATATCTATTCTTGCTGTTTGGAAACTTCATGAAGATGGACTTTGATGTGGATCTTTTTTCAATCATTGTGCTAGGTAGTCAGCAGGCTCCTTTGATCTGGAAGCACATTACTTTAGTTTCAAGAAACTTTATTATACTATTTCATTGATAATTTCTTTCCCTCTTCTAATTTTTTAAATCTTTTCTTTTTTTTGCCTATTTCCCATTTCTTAATCTTTCTTCCTTGTACTTTCTGAGAGATCCCCTTACCTTTTATTTTCCAGTCCTTTTATTGAGTTTTTATTCCTGCAATTCTATTTTTAATTTTCCAGAGCTCATTTTTATCCCCTGAATGCTGCTTTTTTACATAGTCTCCTGTTCGCATTTCAGAGATATTTTATCCTTACAATATTTTTATTTCATGTAATATTTTATCTAAAGGTATATAACTTTAGAAAGTTTTCTTCTGCTTCCTGCATTATTTCCTCTGATTTCTTTTTGTTTGCTTTGGTCTCTCTCTCTGTCTTTCATATTAGAGACTTTGCTTAAATGTCTGGTGTTCAAAGACTGGCTGTTCATATTTAAGAGTAAAGTTACTTAAGCTGACTGGGGAGGGAGCTGCATGTGCAAGGTGGGCTAGGATCCAGCCATCTCATTGGAGAATCCTTATATATGCAGGGCTTTTTCTTGGGCTTATCAGTTTTCTTAGGAGGAATCTTCCAGCTTTCTGCTTTGTGAAATACTAGTGGGGAAAGGGATCAGGGGTGTTTGCTTTCAGAGTATAGACTCTCACTTAATCTTCCTGTTTGGTATGGTGCTCTCCCCTGTTCTCAGCTGTGCTGGATATCCTGGAATTTAGGTCCTCTTCATTAAGCCCCCCCAAACCTCCTATCTTCTGCTAGGTTTGAGGTGGGTACCTGGAGGTCTAACTGATTCTTACGTGAATTTGCAGCCAATCATCTTTTTTTTTGGAATTTTTTTTTTATTGTGTTTTTGGTGAAAATTTACACAGCAAATTAGGTTCTCATTTAACAATTTCTGTATGTATTGTTCAATGACATTGGTTACATTTTTCACAATATATCAGCATTCTCATTATTTCTATTCTGGTTGTTCTGTTTCCCTTTATCTAGCTTCCCTGTCCCCCATTACCATCTCATCTTTAGGGAAAATGTTTGCTGTTTGGTTTCATTTACATGATTATTTAGAGGAGCACAGTACTCACAGGTAATATTATTTTATGGGTCAATCTGTCATTGCAATCAGTCGTCTTGGTTCAAACCCATCCTGCTTTTAGAACTACCTTGTGTCTCTAATCCCTGAGCCTTTCTTTGGAGGTGGCCCCTTGCTTTTTGTTGCCACCTTCTCCCCAACTCCCCACCCCACTCCCTTACTGGTTTAGGTTTCCTCCTTCTGCTAAGTCAGTTACTTCCATCCCTTTCCTTTTCTAGCTTCCAAAATTTTATTATCTCATCTGTGTTCATGTCCTCTCCTATTCTCTTTACCCTTGTAGCGTTTTTTTTTTTTTAAATTCCTTTACTTGTTTACTTGTGTTCAATCCATTATGTTTAGCTAGAAGACACTTCCAAAAAATTTTACTAAATGAAAAGAGCAAAGTGCAGAAGAACATGTATCATATGCTCCCATGTATGTAAAAACAAAGGGAGGGAAAGTGGAACATATCCATGTATATCGTGTGTGTCTGTGTGTCTGTGTGTGTAGAGAGAGAGAGAGACTGAGACACAGAAACTGACAGTGGCCACTGCTGCTGAGGGGACTAGGAGGCCAGGGTGGGCAGGAGACTTATTTTTCATAGTATATTCTTTTATACTGTTTGAATTTTTTTTAATGGGTATTACCTTTTCAGTTAAAAAAAAAGACTAGTTGATAAAAATTTTGAGAGATCCCTTGCATATTCTTGACTCATCAGGCCTTTCAAACTTGAGCTGTTCCTATGATCCAAGTAGCCAAATGCTATGCCCTTGCACTGGAAAGGGAACTTTGAGGGTGTGTGTTTGGGCGGGAGAAGAAGAGATGCTGAGGAATCTATACAGAGAAGCTTAGCTCATTTTTGACTCTGCAGTCTCTACTGGTGATCTCTCTGGGCTGGGACCCCTCCGAAAAAGGGCTGTGAGTTCTCCAGATGCCAGGCTTCTTGGGAGATGTGCTGCAAGACAGCAAGATATTACTGTTCCCTTTCTCTCCCACCTGGAAGTTATACCAGTCCTCGGATTACATGCTTGTTCTCCTGTGCCCTGTCCTAGTGCTGGGACTGTGGGGCAGTCACACCTGTAGAGAGTGTGACTCCATGCTTAGACTCCATGCAAGGAAAGTTCTACATTGTTATACTTTACTACTTCACAGATAAAACATGATTATTACAGACAAGCAAAAAGAAGAAAATCTAAATCACTTATAATCCCACCACCAAGAGATAACCATCGTTTTGGTGTATTATCTTTCTAGAATTCTGGAAATGAAATCATAAAGTATATTACCATTTTATAACTTCTTTCATATATTTGGGGCATTTCTTCCAGTAATGTTTTAGAATTCACTATACTTCTATAGCATTATTTTAAATGACTGTGTGGTATTCTTTTCTACAGATGTTTATATAATTTATATAACCAGTCCCCTATTGTTGAGCTTCTAACTTGTTTCTAATATTTCACTGTTATGAATGGGAATACAGTAAACATTCTTATAGTCTCATCTTTGGGTACATTCTTACTAATTTTGTAGGATTAATTCCTAGAAATGGTATATTTTTGGGTCAAAGATTATTCATATTTTTATGACTAGAAAATACACTCTAAATATATAACCTAACTCCAAATGATAATACCAGTTTCAATAATATATGAATAATTGGAATATATAGGATATTTTAATTTTTAAAGATAAAGTTTATTTTTGATGTTTGAATAGTTATAAAGATATATATGTTCATTATAGAACTTTTTGAAATAGGGGAAAATGAAAAGTATCACAAATAGACCTGCATGCAAAGATAACAAAAAACAGAACAAAACAAAAACCAAATCAGTTGCCGTCAAGTCTGTTCCAACTCATAGCAACCCTAAAGGACAAAGTAGAACGGCCCCATAGAGTGTCTGAGGAGTGCCTGGTGGATTCGAACTGCTGGTCTTCTGGTTAGCAGCTGTAGCTCTTAACCACTATGCCACCAGGGTTTCCAAAGGTAACCAGAATTAGCAATTATTTTTCAGTGTGTTTTTTAACTTGATAGTTATCATACCATATGTATAGTTTTATAACTTTTTTCCAAAGAGTAATGATTTGAGGAGCTACGTTTCTTACATAGGCTTCCTAAGTTTCTGGTTTTGGGGAGGAAAAGACAACTCTGAAAGTTAGTCAGCACCTTCCCTCTCAGAGTATGGCTGCTTATGCTCCCATCTGAGTGAACTCAGTCTTTGGTACCAAGGACGGCCCTGCACCATGTGCATCCACTCAGCCTGACTGCTAATTAGGTGAGACTGACTGACTGCTCAACCTGCTTTTTTCATCCTTCTCGTAGGTGTCAGAATTGGGAAGGCGGAATTGGCGGGGTGCCAGGGATGGAAGCCCATGGTGGCTACACTTTCTGTGGCCTGGCTGCACTGGTAATTCTCAAGAAGGAACGTTCCTTAAATCTGAAGAGCTTATTAGTAAGTGTCTCTTGGGCCATCATCCTCTCGGGCTCCCGCTCACCATTGGTAACTTCAGTGTACTGAGACCCGCAGGCTTCGGGGAGGGTTTGGCTATGGGAAGGGCTAGCTGACTTCTTGCCTTGAGCTTACAAACTCCAAATCCTGGAATAAAGCTTTAGGTGTAGTTTTTGGAGCTCTCAGCACTGTTCTGAGAGAGTGGAGTTGGGGGAACATCGGCATTCAGCCTCAACTCCCTTCTTCCTGTCTTTCTTTCTTCCTGCTCAGAACTCTCTAGTAGTGTGTTAAGCCAGCTCCAGAGTCTTCTTGAGTAACTCAGACATATATCATGAGTACTCCTCTAAGTTCTTGGAGTAACACTCCAAGGAGAGTGTTATCCTCAGTCTGTCTTATAGAACTAGAAGTTATCATGTGTCTTAGGAAGAATCTCCTAGGAAAAAAGGTTATGAGAAGAGCTGGAAGCATTTTGAAGTCAAGCTTTTATTACTTACCGTACTATGTGAATATTTGAGTTCTCTAGGCAGATCCAGGTAATTGTGTTAAGAAGGCGGCCCACGCCATTTACGTCTGGACTGCAAGCTCTGGTGGTTTTCAGAATGAACTCAGAAAGCAGTTAGGTTTGTGGAGTCACTAGAGTATAGTTAAGTACTCCTTGGTGGCCTACTGCACAAACACACAGGCACCTCACAGCCACCTAGGAGAAAGTGTTCCCCTTGTGTTTTCTGGGGAGCAGGCCCACCCCAACCATGACCTCAAAGCAGACCAGCTAGACTGTGCTGCATCTGACATTCAGCTCCTCCTTGAGGACCAATGTCAGGGTCCCATCGTGGAACCCATCGTGAGCCTCCAAGAGAATTTATAACCAGAGTGTGTGTCCTCATCCTCAGGAGCCTCCCACAGCTTGCACGTCTCACTTGAGGGTTCATGCTCACATGGCTAATTTTGTGCACTGGACTGAGAGTTATCAGGCCTTTTAAAATCTGATCATCTGACAAGGGATGAAACATTAAATAAAAAAAAAAAAGTTGCTGTCTATTCAATTCCGACTCATAGCGACCCTAAAGGGCAGAGTAGAACTGCCCCATAGAGTTTCCAAGGAGTGCCTGGTGGATTCGAACTGCCGACCTTTTGGTTAGCAGCTGTAGCTCTTAACCACTACGCCACCAGGGCTTCCGAAACATTAATAAGTAATACATTATCCCTGCATCATTTCTTAGCCCTGTGAATTCCAAAGAAGGCAATGGTGATTAGTGGTAGAATTTTCTCTTTCCACGCGAAAGAACTCAGTTTGATTCCTGGCCAACACACCTCCTGTGCAGCCACTACCCATCTGTTGGTGGAGGCTTGTGTGTTCTATGATGCTGAACAAGGTTTCAGCGGAGCTTCCAGACTAAGCCAGACTAGGAAGAAAAGCCCAGCGATCTATTTCCAAAAATCAGCGGGTGGATCCTAATGGTTTGAGCCCGTTGTACATAGGATTGCCATGAGTTGCAGCTGATTTGACAGTAGTTAACAACAAGTTCTAACGGCAATATTTTAGATTTGAACGTTGCCTCTACCTCTTCCGAGCCATGTGACCTTGGGCAAACTGTCTAATATTTTAGCTTCAGTTATTCCCTTCTATAAAATAAGGGTAACAATTCCTTTGTCTTTGAAGATCAAATGAGAGGACGTGTAAAAACAGCCTGGCACATAGTAGGTACTCAGTAAATGTCAGTGTTCCTCTCACCCAAACTGCTCCTCCCTCCGCTTACTTTGGGAGAACTAGGACCCTTTTCTGAGGGTTTTTATGAATTCAAATAGTCAAGGGGTATAGAACACCCCCAGGGATCATGGACTGGAAAAATACATTAGTCTAGCTTAGAAACAGTTAAGCTGTGCGGTAAGTATGGACACACCACAGCTTAAATGAAGAATGGACACCCCGGCCCCCACCCCGTATGACCTGTTTTCTCTTTTCTTAAGTAACATTTAGCCTGCTTTCATTGACTGTGTCATCCCTAAAGTGCTGGTTCATTTAAGACAGACTGGAGATACATTAGTGCCTGAACCTGCACTGCATGCGTTTATGTCTTTCTTTTTATTTATTTATTTTTTATTGTTGTAGTTTAGATGAAGTTTACATTTCAAGTTAGTGTCCCATACAAAAATTTATACATACATTGTTATGTGACCCTAATTGCCCTCCCCATACTGTGACAGCACACTCCTCCCTTCCACCCCGATACCCCATGTCCATTCAACCGGCTCCTAACCCTCTCTGCTTTCCCATCTCACCTCCAGACAAAAGCTGCCCATTTAGTCTCTTGTATTTACTTGAGCTAAGAGGCACTCTCCTCACAAGTATCCGTTTATGTCCCACAGTCCAGTCCAGTCCCTGTCTGAAGAGTTGGCCTCAGAAAGTGTTTTAGTTCTGGGCTGATAAGAGAATCCAGGGGCCAGGCTTTCTGGGGATCCTTCAGTCTCAGACCATTAAGTCTCCTCTTCTTACTAGAATTTGAGTTCTGCACCCCATCTTTCTCCTGCTCCATCCGGGACTCTGTTGTGTTCCCTGTCAGGGCGGTCATTGGTGGTAGCCGGGCACCATCTAGTTCTTCTGGTCTCAGGCTGATGAAGTCTCTGGTTTATGTGGCCCTTTCTGTCTCTTGGGCTA